GTCAAAATCGTTATTAAACTACTAAACTGTAAGGGTGTAATAGTGCTACACTATTCGGGTATAGTTTTCAAACGAACTTGGACTTTAAATAACCAAATATTTATATATTATTTGGTAATTTCATCAAATCTTGAAGATCTAGCGAACACCACAAAGATATGGCCAATAATACAGGTGAATAGATTAGATAACCTCAAGTAATATTGTACATTCAAAATACCTATTCCCATTACATTAATACTTCGACTCGCTCGAATTAATCAAACTTCTTTCACCAGAAACAACAGTTAGGTTCTCAAAGGTTTTTTCTAGCAATCTCTATAAGAAAAACCAGTCTTATAACACGACAAGGAAGATCCGGATGGTTGTCTTCTCTCGCATTATCCAGTCTCCGCTGATTCAACATCGAGTGTTCGTCAATTTTCGAGGAGAGGAAATCCGACACGGCTTCCTAAGCCACCTTGTTGCCGCCTTTGAACTACACCAGATAATTTTTTTCATTGACAAAGACGAACGAAAAGGAAAAGACTTTACACACCTCTTCAAAAGGATCGAGGAATCAAAGATCGCACTAGCAATCTTTTCTGAGAGATATGCACAATCCAAATGGTGTTTGAATGAACTAGCAAAGATGATGAAACTCGCAGAGAAAAACAACTTGACAGTGATTCCAATATTCTACAAGATGAAGGTAGATGATGTGAGACATCAGAAGGGAGAATTTGGTCACCACTTTTGGGAGTTGGCAAAGGTTTCAAGTGGTGAGGAAATTAAGAAGTGGAAAGAAGCTTTGGAGCTTGTTTCCTACAAGATGGGCTTGACGTTATATGACAACAGGTATTATACGTGATCTTCAACTCTTTTAATTTATCGTTAAAAGAATATAAATATGCAACTGTTCTTGTGTGCCAAGAAAGAAAAACTTAAGTATATATTAGCCGTACGTGCATGTGTGATAAACGACAAAAGGCACAAGCGATCGCCTGAAACTCCAGTAATATTTGCCAAGTATGAGCGACCACTATAAAAAGTTCTAAAGTAAAAAATTGTTGAAAGAGA